ATCAACATCGACGGCACAGCCAAATCGCTTCGGAAAAAAGACAATGCTCTGCGTTTGGTGGGACCAGAAAGGAATCGTGTACTACCCCACAAAAACATCAACGTTATATCCACATCAAATCCACGTAATTTACGTGGACTACGCGGATGGACATTTATCCACGAAATATCGACGTGGATGTAACGTTCTTTTGTTATCGATAAATCGAAGCATTTCATCCTCGAAATATCAATATAAATTCTACGTAGATATTTCGAAATATTCCTGCGAAAACATACGTCGAAATAAAGAAAGATGTTCTATTTTTGTAAGTAAACAAAGAATTTGGAGTTATTTGTTAAAGGAAACGGTTTTATAAATGTAATATGTAATAAATATAGTATGTAGAGATATAGTCAAAATTGTATAGCCTCATTCAGTCAATGATGAGAAGTGTGACCCAGATAATAAGTTTTTATTTTATTACTAACTGGAAACTTTGCATAGTTATTTCTAATATGTATAAGACTTTTTTGTCCAGAATAATATAATCTATAAGTATGTGATTGCTCTGGAACTTTAAAAACCCTGTATAAGATTAATCAATCAAGGCATATTGTTAATCGCAATGTCACTTTTGAGAGGTAATAAAATGTACGAATATTTGGATCTCCATATATATTACAGATAAGATAATTTTGTATTGTAAAAAACAATATTATTCTATAGAAGAAAGAAACAGTGATATTGATTATAATAATTATAGAATAAAACAATATTAAAATAATTTTATATTTATTATATTTGATTTATATGTTACATGGTTTTCTTTACACACACACATTCAATTCGATACTATGCTAAAACAATAGTAAGTTACTGTGCTAAAACAATATTTCAGAATGGGGCATTGGAAAACAGACGCTTTTTGATATAATTGTATTATCTTCCGCATTCTTTTCAGGGAAGGGTAATAATACAATTTTCCTTTTAACATTACCTAAGCACCACCTGTGTAAAAGTCCAAGAGTGCTAACTATATATATATTTATAAGACTCGATGAAAATGGATACGAAAAGAGATTAGATTTTTCTTCAAATTTTCTGCCAATCATTTATAATATTTTATAATATTTTGAAACTGAGAGTGCCCAGCAAGCAAATTGAGAGCAAGTTGCACGCAAATTCGCAGCAAATTTGATCAAATGTTGATGCCAAAACCATAGTCATCTGCGGCGTCTTGAGGCATTGGATTTGGCTGCAAACCTTGACGTCAAGCATTTGATGCAAATTTGCAGCAAACAGCACGCGAACCTTGCGCACATAACTAGGCAGCAAGTTGGCGGCAACACCGGAGCAAGGTCTTGAACTCAAGACTTGAGTGCAAGTTGACAGCAAATTCGCAGCAACGCTTGCATTAAATCAGCTGATCGCTTTAAATGGTACGCATGGCGTATACAGGGTGTCCCATAATTGTAGGACACGAACTCCATAGCAGCATAGAGCTAAGCGGGAGGAACAAAAAGTCCTTTTTCATTTAGCGATATCTCACATAGTTTTTTAATAATAACCGCGTAAAGTTTGGCGTTTGTCACGCCCATCGCGACCTATAGACGCTCCGCGGCGAGCTGTGTGCGTCGGGGCTGAGCGGTAAGGCGGCGCGCGTTGACCGCCGCGCCGGCGATGACGTTTTGACGCTTTGACGCCGTCGGCGCGTGGCCAGGCGATGATGAACGCGCCGCGTGTACGCTGCAAATCTAAGCGTGTTTTCTCTTTGCCAAAAGTGTGTGGCGCACACTTTTGGGTTGCAGGCGTTAATTAAACGTTTATTAAACACGACGACAAATGCGAATTAAACGCAATTGCGCGTGTTAAAATTACTTTTTCGCGTAGAAACACTATCATTTCCACACCACCTTTGAGGTAGATAGCTTGGTGCGTTTTTTTTTTACGTGGTTTCCCCAGTAGGCCTAATCCACGGTTACTGATTAGTGTAGTAACTGTTCGAAGTGCCTTCCTCCAACTTGTAAGCAGAGTTCAGCTCTTCGTGTTATCTCTTGCGTCGCACGCCATATCCGGCGTGATGGTAGCGAAGGCCGCAATAATTGCTGCACGTACCTCCTCTTCTTTACCATCGCGCCGTTGCTCGACTAAGGATTTGACGTTTTCCCATACAAAATAATCGAGAACGTTCAAATCCGGCGACCGTGCCGGCCAAGTGATTGGGCCACCGCGACCCATCCACCTGTCCGGAAAACGCATATTTAATATTTCTCGCACTGCACGCGAAGAGTGCGCGGAAGCCCCGTCGTGCTGGAATATCATAGTTTCGCGTGCGCGGAGAGGAACGTCCTCGAGGAGAAGAGGTAGCTCGTTCTCAAGGAATTCCGCGTACCTCTGCTCATCAAGACGTGGCGGTAAAGAAAATGGGCCGATCTGAAAATAATTACCACATTTAAATAATTATACGCGTAATAAAACATGTTGCGCATGTTGCAAATTACAAGAATACATACCACTCTGTCCGCAATTACTCCTGCCCACACGTTCACCGACCACCGGTATTGAAAAGCGCATTGCCGAACGGCGTGAGGATTCTCGGATTGCCACAGCAATGTGTTGCGAGAATTAAACACGCCGTTCGGTGTGAAAGTCGCCTCATCCGTTCACAGAAAATGGTCGGGAAATTATTGATTTCGCCGACACTGTGCGAGGAGACCTGCACGTGTTTCACGTAGATATATTAACATTTTTTAATTTAGTCCTTTATAAAAATAATAAACATACCTGCACAAAAGTGCGCTCGCGGTGCTTCATCACGTGGAAGTAATTGTTGTACGCGTCGATAACGGCAGGGCCGCAAATTATTTTGACGCAAGATGCGATGCACCAAAGATTTGGATAAATGTAGGCGTCTCGATAATTCGCGCACACTACATCCGGGATCGTTCTCGATCTCGCGCAATACTCTCTCCTCATCGCGGATCGAATGTAGGACAGGTGCACCAGCACGAAGTTTATGGACCGGCAGGAAACTCCCCGTTTCCTTTGCTCATCTTACACAAAATCTAATAGTATTTCGCGAAGGATGCCGCGCGCGATTAGGATATCGCTGTGCGTAAAGACGCGCGCGTAAATGATCGCTATAATCCGCCCTCGCGTAGCACATCAACATATCAAAATATTCTGTCGCCGTGAAATCCATTGTTTTAAGGCTGTGATGCGCGGAACACTTCACAGAAGCTACTGCCGTCAAAAACGTTTTTTTGTAGGCGATAGAGAAAAACAGTTGAACATCTGAGAAACGATCGTCGAGCCAGAGGCTCTTCTCCTCGCACAGTGTCGGCGAAATCAATAATTTCCCGACAGTTTTCTGTGGACGGATGAGGCAACTTTCACACCGAACGGCGTGTTTAATTCTCGCAACACATTGCTGTGGCAATCCGAGAATCCTCACGCTGTTCGGCAATGCGCTTTTCAATACCAGTGGTCGGTGAACGTGTGGGCAGGAGTAATTGCGGACAGAGTGGTACGTATTCTTGTAATTTGCAACATGCGGAACATGTTTTATTACGCGTATAATTATTTAAATGTGGTAATTATTTTCAGATCGGCCCATTTTCTTTACCGCCACGTCTTGATGGGCAGAGGTACGCGGAATTCCTTGAGAACGAGCTACCTTTTCTCCTCGAGGACGTTCCTCTCCGCGCACGCGAAACAATGATATTCCAGCACGACGGGGCTCCCGCGCACTCTTCGCGTGCAGTGCGAGAAATATTAAATATGCGTTTTCCGGACAGGTGGATGGATCGCGGTGGCCCATTTACTTGGCCGGCACGGTCGCCGGATTTGAACGTTCTCGATTATTTTGTATGGGAAAACGTCAAATCCTTAGTCGAGCAACGGCGCGATGGTAAAGAAGAGGAGGTACGTGCAGCAATTATTGCGGCCTTCGCTACCATCACGCCGGATATGGCGTGCGACGCAAGAGATAACACGAAGAGCTGAACTCTGCTTACAAGTTGGAGGAAGGCACTTCGAACAGTTACTACACTAATCAGTAACCGTGGATTAGGCCTACTGGGGAAACCACGTAAAAAAAAAACGCACCAAGCTATCTACCTCATAGGTGGTGTGGAAATGATAGTGTTTCTACGCGAAAAAGTAATTTTAACACGCGCAATTGCGTTTAATTCGCATTTGTCGTCGTGTTTAATAAACGTTTAATTAACGCCTGCAACCCAAAAGTGTGCGCCACACACTTTTGGCAAAGAGAAAACACGCTTAGATTTGCAGCGTACACGCGGCGCGTTCATCATCGCCTGGCCACGCGCCGACGGCGTCAAAGCGTCAAAACGTCATCGCCGGCGCGGCGGTCAACGCGCGCCGCCTTACCGCTCAGCCCCGACGCACACAGCTCGCCGCGGAGCGTCTATAGGTCGCGATGGGCGTGACAAACGCCAAACTTTACGCGGTTATTACTAAAAAACTATGTAAGATATCGCTAAATGAAAAAGGACTTTTTTGTTCCTCCCGCTTAGCTCTATGCCGCTATGGAGTTCGTGTCTTACAATTATGGGACACTGTGTATAACCTTGGTCGTTAGGTTAGAATTGGTATTTCTGAATAAAGAAGTTAGAACTGGTATTTGTGAGTATACAATATTAATTTTATTTTGTAAATATATGAAAAACTTTTTTAATAAAAATAACGCTTGCGATATGCTTTGCTTGGTCTCTTTCGTGAGTGCATTTCTTCGATGAAATGAAGGAGTCCTTGAAGTTGGCGGAGTGCAAGAACTCTTCGCGCTTGTCTATCGATTCTCTACATAATTATTCCGCAAATATAACGCGAATATAACAATTTTATAAGATTTCGTTTCTCATAATATATTTTGTTTTTACGGCGCTTTAACATATACTAAAAGATCTTTTATATATGTTTATATATTATATATATATATATATATAATCTTTTTGTATATGTTATTCTATATATATACAATAATTATCTAAAAAATATCTTAATATTTAGTAATCTGCCGCATTGTTAGCTTGCGACGTCCGATATTTGACACTTGCTTATTCTGCACGGCTTCCAATTTCGGACATTCTGTGGTTCTGTGACCGCCGCAATAACTGCAACCGTGTTCGTCTGTAAAACGAAAAGAATATAAATGTCCATAAATGTCCATTTCAAATTTGCAGATGAATTTACAAGTCACAGTGAGATCGAGAATGAACGCTGTTTAATGCCCAAATCACACTAACGTTTATATTTACGATTGTCTCTTGATCAATCAGAAAAATCGCAATCGCCAGTAGCTTTTTTCTAATTGGTCAAGAGACGATCGTAAACGCAAATATAGGCGCAGTCATCAAACGCTAGTGTTCGCTTGTGATTTGAACATCACAAGAAGAAAGCAAATGTATTGCAATTATCATCTTACTTCCCAGATTGAGGTATTTTTCGGTTTCTGAGCAAAGTTCCAACAAGAATGACGGCACTTTCTGCTTCGCCTCCATTAGCAGATATTTGAGATCAAGCAACACCGATTCATCGTTTGCCTTATTAATGAAAGCCGTCGCGATGCCAGTACGTCCGGAACGATCAGTACGTCCTATCCTGTGAATATTAAGAGAGATACATTAACATTGAGTTCTTCTGATGCATTAACCTAAATTGTAGATTAAAACACGAAATATTACCGTAATTCTTCACATCATGTGGCATATCATAATTTATTACGTGTTGCACATCAGCAAACTCGAGACCTTTGGACGCAACATTTATCGCAACCAGAACGTCCTTCTGATCTGCGCGAAACGCTTCGACAGAACGTGATCTTTTCTCCTGATCTGTAATTGACAATGTTTGTGAATATTATACATACTAGAATAAATACGAAAATAAATATCATGCTATAGACTTAATTTATCTACATGATGTTTAACTTCGAAATGTTAATACAATTTATTAACAGTCCCAGTGCTTTGAAATACGACGTACCGATGCCTCCATGTATTGCAACAACTTCCACTCCTTTGATTAGCAGATATTCGTGGATAGCATCCACGTCGCGCTTCTTCTTCGCAAATATTAACACTGACGGCGCGGTTTTTTGAAGGCATTCCAAAAGTTTAATACCTTCAGCCAATTTTTGTAATTCAGTATATTGATCTAAAAGAGAGATATTGGACTTTCTTCCCCAGACTGGTCCCAAACTTGTCAACGTTATCAGCATCATCTTTTTCATTCTCACTACTCGTCTTAAAATGTGCAACGGATATTTTTAACTTACCTGATTTATATTGTCAATCATCATTGTGTTCTTCCTCCTCCTCGTCCCACAAATGCTCTGCGTTCAGTCGGGCAAGATTATGTTGGTGTCCACGGTTTCCTTTCATACGGTTTCTTTCTTTCATTACACGCAAAGACTCCCGCATCTGCTTCTGGAATTCTGACTTCTGAGGTTTTGCAAAGTAGTTGTTTCTACATACAGCATCTGCGAAAGAAGCACATTTCTTGTTGGATGACAATACTAACTAATTTCTCTTTCTCTCTCTCTGTATGAAGACTGAAAATATTTCTTACCATAGATGGCCTTAACGAGCCAAGTATTATATAATGATTGACGTCCTTCGTCGCGGCCGAATCAAATATATGACGGCGCCACTGAGTCGTGCAAACCCTCTCTGAGGCAAAGATTGGTTGCTTCTTTCAAAGTGAAGCCGCCAATATAATGAAAGTAATTGACCTAAAACAAGCAGTATATTATGTTATTATGTACGTAATTTTCGTGTGACGTAAAAGGTATTAATTTTACTTACAACGGTATAATATTCTTCTGTTGATTGTTCTAACTCCTGCATTTGTTGAATAGTTGTAATAGGTAAGCCTTCTGGTTTTCTCAACGCGGATTGGTGATACTGGATGCACTTTAATATTTTATTTATACCTGCACTTAATTTTATGAAAAGAAACAAGAAAAAACACGGTAAAGTTGTATATATACCCAACAAACACAGTGTTACATGTAATGTATATGTTAGTTGTAACATTCTACTCAACGATATAACTGTCATGTAACACACGTGTTATATAACAGTTTCATTGTTGAGTAGGAAACTACAACTAACATGTACGTTACATGTAACATTGTGCTTGCTGGGTATATATACAGGGTGTCCCATTTTAAGCGTCCACCCCAAACATCTCTCTTATTTTTTATTTTAGAGAAAAATGGTTCAGACACGTTTTATATGGTTTCAAGGGGGCCATAAGATGGTACCATTGATTTGACCTTGAAGAGTCATTTGAAGGTCACGTGAAGGTTACCTCAATTTTTTTAGATGGAACGCCCTATTCTTTATTACATATTCTTGTAGCTGACCTCGAGAGCTTACCAAGACACTATAATCAAATGTTTTTTGGTGAAGTACTTTTCGAGTTATAAAGCTCAAAATTTACAAAATTTTGATAAAAATACAAAATATTTCGTAAAACATTCACTTTCCGATAGCCTTACTCTAATAACCAAATCTGTCCGAAACAGATTTTGCCAGACGCCTGCTGCAGGAGTTGATGACAAACTGATGACAAAATTAATATAGATTCTGCAATATCAGATGATGTCGGCAGAATGCCAGCAACATTAAGACAAAATCTGTTACAGAAGTTTGATATCAGATTGACGTCAACATTTGAACAGATTCTATTAAACAGCCTGACGGCAGTTTGACGACAGAAAGGAAACAGATCCTGCCGTGCGCAGTCTGACGGCAGATTGGCGGCAGAATTCAAACAAACGCAGTTTAATACTATGACGGCAGATTGGCGGCAGAAACGTAACAGATTCTGACATATGCAGTCTGGCGGCAGATTGACGGCAGAAATACAGTAGAATCTGTTGTGCGCAGTCTGGCACCAGAATGATGGCAGAAACGTAACAGATCCTGCCGTTCACAGTCTGACAGCAGACTGGTGACAGAAATACAACAGATTCTGCCATATTCATTTTTACATCCCCCCTCCCCCCTTCCCATTCAGTTATGCACATTACGTGAAGGTAATTATTAAAAAACAACACAACATACGAACGTATTTTTATTTATCACACAAGACAAAACGAGACAGCCAATCAGATTCACAATGGTGTTTACCGTAAATGACGGAACACGAAGACGACGATGTTTCTTTTCATAGCCTCAGGAAGTGACGACACACGATGACTTCGAGACGATGTTGGAGTAACTAATAATAGGGTTTGTGAACGGTGAAGTGGTAATCTGCTGCGATATCTGTAAATTGAAATTATATTACAGTTGCATCTTTCTAACTGCAGTTATGTATAATATATGTTTAAGTAAATACATGAATTAAAAGTTACATTGTATTAATGTCACAATTTCCCACAGTAAATACAATACACGTGTCGTATTCATAGTGGCATAGCAAATTGTAGCATCGATACATTGTAACTCTTAATAATTGCTGGGATGAGACGGGAAAATCAGAGAAATCTGGATAAAAATATTTACCTGTGTCTCTTGCGTTCTTCGGTAATAGATTCGTCGATCCTCCGTGACATCCGATCCTCCTGTGATGGCCTAAACATGTAAAATGTCCGGGAGAAACTGTAAAGTCGACACAGAGTACCAATTATCTATGCCCAGAAGTCGAAATTATTTGCCCGTTTCAACCGATTTTTGAGAGCTATGCCTATTTCTCTTGTTTCTCCGCTCGTCCAAAGGTAGTTACAAGGGAGGACGGTCACGCCGCACAGATATAAGCTGTCATGTGTCATTTGTAGGGATCTTCGGAAAGAAGAGGAAGAGAAGTAGGCGTAGCCTTAAAAAATCGGCTAAATCGGGCAAGTAATGCGGGAAGCACATACTTTTGCATAAAGGCATAATGCATAACGCATAAGGAAATGAACCAATCAGTCTTTCATTTCTATTGCCACGCTTGAAGATCGCTTTTCGAAGATCCTTACAAATGATACATGACAGCTTATACCTGTGCGGCGTGACCGTCCTCCCTTGTAGGGACTTTTGGACGAGCGGAGAAACAAGAGAAATAGGCGTAGCTCTCAAAAATCGGTTGAAACGGGCAAATAATTTCGACTTCTGGGCATAGACAATTGGTACTCTGTATCGACTTTACAGTGTCTCCCGGACATTTTACATGTTTAGGTCATCACAGGAGGATCGGATGTCACGGAGGATCGACGAATCTATTACCGAAGAACGCAAGAGACACAGGTAAATATTTTTATCCAGATTTCTCTGATTTTCCCGTCTCATCCCAGCAATTATTAAGAGTTACAATGTATCGATGCTACAATTTGCTATGCCACTATGAATACGACACGTGTATTGTATTTACTGTGGGAAATTGTGACATTAATACAATGTAACTTTTAATTCATGTATTTACTTAAACATATATTATACATAACTGCAGTTAGAAAGATGCAACTGTAATATAATTTCAATTTACAGATATCGCAGCAGATTACCACTTCACCGTTCACAAACCCTATTATTAGTTAGTCCAACATCGTCTCGAAGTCATCGTGTGTCGTCACTTCCTGAGGCTATGAAAAGAAACATCGTCGTCTTCGTGTTCCGTCATTTACGGTAAACACCATTGTGAATCTGATTGGCTGTCTCGTTTTGTCTTGTGTGATAAATAAAAATACGTTCGTATGTTGTGTTGTTTTTTAATAATTACCTTCACGTAATGTGCATAACTGAATGGGAAGGGGGGAGGGGGGATGTAAAAATGAATATGGCAGAATCTGTTGTATTTCTGTCACCAGTCTGCTGTCAGACTGTGAACGGCAGGATCTGTTACGTTTCTGCCATCATTCTGGTGCCAGACTGCGCACAACAGATTCTACTGTATTTCTGCCGTCAATCTGCCGCCAGACTGCGTATGTCAGAATCTGTTACGTTTTTGCCGTCAATCTGTCATTAGACTGTGTACGTCAGGATCTGCTTTGTTTCTGGCATCAGTCTGCCGTCAAATAATGTTGCCAGACTCTACCGTCAGAATGCAGGCACAATGGATAAGCAGGTGGCACCAATCTGCTGTAAACCTCTGATTCATTCTGCCGTCAGTCTGCTGAAGTATTGCTATTAGGGTATCTTACATGATCCAACCAGTCAAGGCAAGATCCGAGCATGATCCAGCCAGTCAAGGGAAGATCCGAGCATGATCCAACCAGTCAAGGCTCGGATCTTGCCTTGACTGGTTGGATCATGTAAGATAAGACTATCAGAAAGTGAATGTTTTACGAAATATTTTGTATTTTTATCAAAATTTTGTAAATTTGAAGCTTTATAACTCGAAAAGTACTTCACCAAAAAACATTTGATTATAGTGTTTTGAGAAGCTCTCGAGGTCAGCTATAAGAATATGTAATAAAAAATAGGGGATTCTATCTAAAAAAATTGAGATAACCTTCACGTGACCTTCAAATGACTCTTCAAGATCAAATCAATCTTACCATCTTATGGCCCCCTCGAAACCATATAAAACATATCAGGATCATTTTTCTCTAAAGTCAAAAATAAAAGAAATATTTGGAGTGGACACTTGAAATGGGATATCCTGTTTATAAACACATATGATTATTTGTCACAGAACTTACTTAATTTCAACCTCTATGTTAATTATGCGTTCCTCCATTCTGGTCAAGAGTGCTTCACTTCTCCTGTAACGAAAACAACAATTACAATTAGTTTCTAATAGTAGACAAATAGACAAATAATTTTTAATTCCTTTTAGAAATTCAAATAAAAGATACATATCTATTCCAATAATCTATTTAATAACTATATATTTTATCATGTATCAAAATTAGTTAGCATATATTTGATAATGAACAGACCTTTTTTCTAGATTATCATCCTGCGGAGGGAAAATTGCACTGCCTTGACCATATTGGAAGCCTTTCTCCTGCTGCAGTGGCTGTGGAGTTCGCACATGGGACAAACTGTTATTGGTATACAGGATTTGTCCGTCTTCTTTATTCAATATAAAATATGTTTGTGTTGGTAATGTGTTTGTGTATGTTTGCATGGGTGAGGTGTGTGCGTGCATCTGTATGTTAGGCGTGTATGTACGTGTATTTGTGTATTATGTCCAGTATTAGTGTTTGTAAATGATTGTAAATGATTGTATATTTAATGTAGGTTGAACGTGTGTTTCTATATTAAAAGTTGTAGCTTCATCCTCCAAGGTTCTTGTTATTTCATCTATGTCGTCATTGATAGAACCAGCTGCAGCAGATGCTGCGAAGCGCCTCCTCTGTGGGGGTCCTTCATGTGATGATGTTGTTAAATATCGGGGAGGCTTTGTTATACTTCGTTTTGGTCGCTCTGTGGATCTGAAACAATAGCAGTGGCCGCGTTCAGCAGAAAAAGCTTACTAAGCGCTCAGTGATTATTATCTATGATTGGAGTATTCTTTTAGATCTTTAACAAATCCAGGGGAATGAACAAATCAGAAACGATAATCACTAAGCGCTGAGTAAGCAGCTTTTTCTGCTGGACACGGCCAATGCATATATGAATATTTTGTTCGAGGTTAAAGAGGTTGCTTAAAAGTTTCAATTCCTTATTTTACTTGAAATAATTCCTCCTTCCCCTAACGTGGTTACATTAAACTGAAATGAAATTATATTATAAAATGAAATGAGATTATATAATAAAATTGGGGGATGTAAGGAAGATATTGGGTGATGGAGAGAAGCCAGAGAGATGGATAAGAGAGGTAGAGAGATGGCAAGGAGAAGGGATGAGAGAAAATAGAGAAGGAGAGGACCCTGATAGCAGACTGATGTCAAATGACGTACTAATGACGTCTTAATGACGTTAGCTAACGTCATTAAGACGTCATTAGTACGTCATTTGACGTCAGTCTGTTATCTGGGGAGGGAGGGAACGAGGGAGAATGGAGTATGGAGGGAGCGGGGAGGGAGGGAAAATAGGATAAGAGTATGAATGAAGGGTGAGGGATAGTAAGAGAAAGGAAACGGAAGTCCCACTAATTAAATGTAATTAGTTATAAGCAATAGATATAAGGAGTAGTATATAAGCATTAATTATAAGCAATAGCACATAAGCATTAGGATTTAAGCTAATTAGTAAGTAAGCTAGTAAGATAATTTAAGTTAGATATAAGCTAGAGATTAATGGACAGATAGAGGGGAAGAAAGGAGAAAAGGTGTGTGTGTGTGTATGGGGGGGGGAGGTATAGGGAGTGGGCGAGTGAAAGTGGCGAGGAAGCAAGATGTATAAAATTGTAACTCCACAGGAAAACAATAAACAGCTTATCTATCTATCTATATATATAATGAAATTGAAGAGAAAAAAAATTATTTTAAATTATTTCAAAAAATTATTTCATAAAGGGGGCTAATTCCGGAAATAATTAAGCAAATATTTATTTTAAAGAAGCAATTTATTTTAGAGCATGCAATAAAGAGATTAGAGTAAATATTTTTACCTTTCTTGTGACATAGTGAAGATGATGAACCCTTGCTATATCACACTTGCAATATAGAATATTTATCTTCTATATTACTCGACGTAATCACGAAAAATATACTGTATAACTGACCGCAAAATCGTAAACTTATTAAGAGAACAGTTGAAGGAGGACGTTAGACCGATGCCCCGCGGAAATGTTTAGCGAAACGGAACGTGCGCATTAATCACAGCCATTCTATTCTATTCGTGAAAAGAATGGAGTGGCTGTGATTGGTTCGAGCGTTCCGTTCTGCTGAAAATTTCCGCTCATGGGACATCAGCCTTACGAGCTGCGTTCGAAAAGTGTACCCTGAGAGTTTGATAGGAATTTTAGCCCCAGCCGAGGTTTAATCATATCATAAAAAACTGCGTAGTAAAAATAGCTTATACGCGAAAATTTCAAGATGGGCCCTCAGGCTCAAATGTCCATCTAAGGGTGCATTCAGTACTACAACCGCTCACTGAGTACTACAACGGCTGCGTTCAGAAAACACAACGGTTACACAACGGTTGAATAATTCGTCAACGTTATTGGCCTGAATGTAAGGATCTAATAGTAAGGACCAATAGTTACTAAACGCTCAGTGAGCGCTTTGTTTTCTGAACGCAACCAACCGCTCACTGAGCACTAAGTGAACTCTTACATCTGATTGGTGTATATTTTTAAATCTAAAGGAATATATTGGGTGAGTGCAAAAGTTCGTGCGGAGTTTGTGAGTAAAAGTCACACAGTGATTAGGCAAACAAAAATCTTTATTCAATCAATGATATATTCTCCATCGTTTTCTATAATCTTTTCCCAACGTTCTGGCAGCATACGGATGCCTCGATCATAAAAACTGCGCGGTTTAGATTCGAAGAACGAAGAGACGCCGTTTTTTAAGGCCTCCAAAGAGTCAAAGTTTTTTCCATTTAAATAATTTTGCAATGACCGGAACAAGTGATAGTCAGATGGTGCGATATCAGGAGAATACGGTGGATGCGTTAAGACATCCCATTTCAGGCTCTTCAGTTTGCGCAGCGTCTTTTTCGAAACGTGTGGTCTGGCGTTGTCGTGATGAAAGACGACTCCCTTGCGATTTGACAAAATCGGACGTTTCTCTTTTATTTCTCGATTCAGATTGGTTAATTGGCGACAGTACTTGTCCGAATCAATCGTTTCGCCAGCGGGGAGAAGCTCGAAATAGATTATGCCCTTGCAATCCCACCAAACAGAGAGCATCACCTTCATCGGGTGCAAACTGGCCTTTGGCATTGCGTCACCATGCTCACCTGATTGTTTCCATGTCCGTTTGCGCTGAACATTGTTGCAGAGGACCTATTTCTCATCGCCCGTCACTAGTCGATCCAAAAACGACTCGTTATTGAGCCGCCCGAGTAAAGAAACGGCTGCAGAAATTCGCTTGATTTTGTTCTTCTCGGTCAGCAAATGGGGCACCCATATATCGAGCTTCAAATCGAATCCCATCTTTTTTAAACGCCGAAAAGCGGTTGATCGGTCAACGTTTAGTGCTGTAGCAACTTCTTCTGTTGAAATTCGCGGATTATTGAGCACTAAAGTACGCAAAACATCGTCATCAATGTCAGAAGGTCGACCAGAGCGTGGCTCGTCTTCAAGGTTAAATTCTCCGCGCCGAAATTTAGCAAACCATTTTTCCACAGTTCGTTTAGCTGGTGCTTCATTCTGATAAACATCCTGAATGTTTTTTACGGCTGCGGCAACGTTTATTCCCTTCCGAAACTCGTAAAGCATAACATGCCGTAAATGCACCTTATCGATACTCATTTTTAAAGTGATATTTCTCGAAGCAGTTTGTATGAAAACAAATGATTTTTTTTTTAATAACAGCTGAAGACGTCACCTTTCCAACGTTATATAATATGTAGATGGAAGTATTAATGACAACACTTTACGACGCTTATAACTCCATCTATTGAAACTCCGCACGAACTTTTGCACTCACCCAATACCAATCAACTGTAAAAGCTCATTGAGCGCTCAGTGAGCGGTTGTAATATTGGCCGCGTTCAGTAGAACAAAGTGATCAGAAAGCGCTTAGTGATTATTGTCTGTGATTGGAGCATACTTTTAGATTCTTCATAGACCCAGAAGTATTTACCAATCAGGAGCGAGATTCAGTGGAAAATCTAGTAATGTTGTACAACTGTTGAGTCTGCTGAATGCAGCCATTGGCCGCGTTCAGTAGAACAAAGTGATCAGAGAGCGTTTAGTGATTATTGTCTGTGATTGGAGCATACTTTTAGATTCTTCATAGACCCAGAAGTATTTACCAATCAGGAGCGAGATTGAGTGGAAAATCTAGTAATGTTGTCCAACTGTTGAGTTTACTGAATGCAGCCATTGGATGCATTCAGTAAACTGTGCTTGAGAGCAGCATGCAATTAACCTATGCTTGAGAGCAGCATGCAATTAACCAATCATGATAAAGAATGTCTCGTTCGTGTGGTCCTCATTGGTCGATCGAATGCTATTCTACTTGTCGAGTACTGGCACTATATTCTTGAAATAATTGCATAAACGTAAGTTTTAAGCCAGCGGCACACGGTGCTTGTTTTCGTGCTGGATTGCTTGCTCGATGAAAATACTGCATTCTGATTGGTGCATTTCCATTCATCTTCGGAAAGATGTTGTGTTGGACGAATTTGCCGTATTCAAGTGATATTTAGTGTGATATTCAACGAGTTGTCTCAAGGATTTTCAAGCATACATTTTCAGCATACATTTCAAGCAAACATTTTGGACCTGGACTTACAATAACAAAGTTACGTAAATATGAACCCATACAGCACAGAAGCTGCAACAACATTGTTGTAACATTGCAAAATTGCATATTGCAGTGCAATATTATAGCAAAATTGCAAAAACAATATTGTGCAATATTATTTCTGCAATATTGCAGCTATATTGCAAAGATATTAATTTGCAGTAACAACTGAATATCCGTGAACGAATGTTCTATGCGACGCTAAACGCTTTAACCTCCTCTTTTTACCTCCTCTTTTAACCTCTATTCGTTGATAGATGTTACAAAAAACTTGACTGCGATTGTTCAAACTGATCTAGATCGCAGTCATATTTTCATCTCAAACGAGAAAGAACGCTTATCGACATATAATGGCAACGTAAATATCGTTTTGCAACGCAATTCACTCCGTAAAATATTACAATTCGTCCCTTTATATTTTATTTTGTCAAGTTGCAGATGACACAAATGTATGTTGAGAAACTGACGGAGCTTTATAACCTTTCTGAAAGGCCTTATTGTGATTAGACTATAAGCTATTTCGATTCGCTTTTATACAAAATGAACGAATTTTAAAGAAAAAAGTGTTATTCTACTCCGTAAAGCAATATGATTTTGATCAATATTGCAAATAACGGTATTATTTAGATTCAAGATGCTATGTAATTATTATTTAAAATTTTAGAAAAATAATAATATGGTAATGATATATATTTCAGAAGCTGTTCGTATATCCCACAGCGCAATGACAGACAACGACTATGCGGAATATGTATCGAAATGGCTTGCACAAGCACTGTATGGATTTCAAGGCAGAAAATTGGAGAAACGGTGGCTCATGATCAACAATGATATTATCATTTAATATAGTATTTTTATTAATAGTTTTATTAATAGTATTAATATAACATTTTTCATTTATGTGTTCCTTTTAAATATATGTGTTCATAATTTTTGATAGTTCTTTGATGTTTTTCGTTTATTTTTTACTACTAAAGTTGATAAAACACTTTATTTATGTTTTATATACATATGTTTATATTTTGTTACGAACACCATTATGTATGTGCACCATTTAGTATATTAACCAAAGAAGCAAATTTTTATTTAATATTAATTGTTGTAACATACGTTTATAAATAAATATATATATATGTTATAATTTTGACTTATTAATAGTTACAATACTACTGCGATTGCTGTTTAACATAATACCTATACTATAGTATGTGAGTCTAACTAATAACTTGCAATTATGATATCCTACGTAATATAGCTGTTTGCTAATCTCTACAGATATCTTGTGGATATCAAATGACAAAAATACTTCAGTATATTATGACAATATTCAAATATCCGCCTTTTATTACACTTTTATAACAAAACATAACATTGACGTAATTGTTATATTTCGTTTTAGATGTGATAAAAAGCGAACTTTTAATATCGCAATAATGTTATACTGACAATTTTTCCATCTGCTGGTATCTGTGGAAAAAAGATTAACACATAATTATGTTATATGGAATTGTATAATTACTTGTATAAATGTAATATAATACTTGTATAAATATTTGTATTAATTGTATAATTAAAATGTTGAATGCATGTTTTAGAATGGTTTAGTTGCATATATTAGAGCTATAGTTAGAGCTATATAATATTGTATTGTTTAATTTTGTATACTACAGCTATTACGCCACTCTATACGCACGCACGCACGCACGCACATGTATATATATATAGGCATAATAGCTGTAACTTTATTGCATGTATACTATATAACATTGTTATTGCAATATTACAACAGAATATTGCTGTATTATTGCAGTATAATATTGCTGCGCTATTATAATGCAATATTGCTGCATCATTGCAATGCAATATTACTGCAAGCGGACATTTTAATGTTGCTGCAATATTGCTGTACAATTGCAGCAACATTTTGCAATAATGTTGCAATGATACAATCTTGCAAAACTAGATTGCTGCAATGTTGCTGCAATCTTTCTGTGCTGTATGGGAAGCCATATTCAAAATTATCCACCTCGCGTAAACCGTTGCATAAATTATCAAGAAGACGAAGAAATATGATTATGAAAGAAGTACGGCGCAATTTTCAGCTACAAAATTCTGAAGGAAAGAGTACATATAACGTAACCAATGTAGAATCCAATGATAATTCCGTATTGCAAAATGTTTCAGCTTTATCGCAATGTACTTATTTTAATAACTTGCCTTCCGTTAACGAAAATATTGCCAGCATAAGCAGTAAACGTAGAGGATGATAGAGCATCATATTCATCTTCCATCTCTTCAGATGGTTCTTATGTATTGGCTTCATGTTTTAGTAGTTTGTCAGAACCATCCTTTACTGAAAATTTAGCTTCTTTATTTGTTGATTGCAATTTGACGCATAGCCAAGGAAATAGAATATTATCTGTTTGGGAACACATACTTGTTTGTCTCATTTGCCCAAAGACGTAAGAACCTTGCTGAACACACCAAGGCATCGTGTCGTTGTATGCACTGTTGAGCCAGGGAAATATATACATTTCAATGTGGAAGTAGCAATTGTAGAATATCTTTCTAATGTTCAATGTGCATTTGATATTAGGATTGAGGCCTGGTCTATAAAGGTCATTCTACAATACGTGTCGTAAATTGTAAGCCGTAAGAACTGACCAATTATGGCCGATTATTTTTATAATAATTGATTGTGATTCGCCAATTCTTACGGCTTACAACTTACGACACGTGTCGTAGAATGACCTTAATAGATGTTGTAAGCTGTAAGCCGTAAGAACTGGCTAATTATAGCCGATTATTTTTATAATAATTGACTGTGATTCGCCAATTCTTACGGCTTACAACTTACGACACGTATTGTAGACCAGGCCTCAATCTTCCATAAGCGAGCGTAAGTTTTAGTTATTTTATTAATCGTGCATGGATTGTGAGTAGTGTAGAAACGTAGTCACTTCTCAATTTGTGAAAATTTCCAAGGAACAGAATCGATTACCGTGGGTGTACATTAGATAGATCAGGTACAATTCAAATTTGGCCGATTCGGTATAAAATATCAAATTTACAAAATTCAAAACCCATCGTTGTTGGAATATATAAAGGTGCACAAAAGCCTAACTAATGCTAATGCTTTTTTTGAAAAATTTATTGTCGATATAACAGCTATTTGTAATGAAGGTGTAAATTTTCACGGTGCTTTAATACCAATTAGATTAAGAGCCTTCGTAGCTGATACACCTGCTCGAGTTTTTCTTTTACATCATCGTGGTCATACATCTTATCACCCATGCTCTAAGTGCAAAGTTAATGGCATGCAGATCGATGATCGCAATGTATTTCATGGTGTCAAACATCTTCTTCGTACGGATGAAAATTATAGATTGCGTCGTGATGAAAATCATCACAAAGAGGGCACAAGTCCGTTAGCAGTTTTACCTATGGGGATGGTTTCGCAGGTCCCCTTTGAATATATGCATTTAGTATGCTTAGGTGTAGTAAAAAAATTATTGTCTGCTTGGGTATATGGGAAATACTCACGAATGTCGAAACTGTGTGGAAGATCGATTTCAAGAATTAGTGATCGTTTAAAAATGTTGACACAATATTGTCCTGCCGAGTTTGCAAGACGCCCTAGATCTCTAGATATTTTTTCAAAGTATAAAGCAACAGAATTTCGCCAGTTTCTTCTGTATACAGGACCAGGTGTAATGTATGGAATATTAAATGACTCTATAAGCACTTCTTGCTTCTACATGGTGCTATAAGAATCTTGCTTTTAAAATCTCCATCAGAGAAACAGCTGAGGTTCGCGGAACTTGCACTGGAAAAATTTGTATTGCGTAGTAATACTTTATATGGTTCTAATTTCATTAGTTATAATGTTCACAGTCTGCTTCACTTTACTACCCAGATAGCACAAGACATTCCTATGAATATTTTATGAATATTCTTCAAGAATATTTGGAATATTCCATAGGTCATTCTTATATATTCATCGTATGTTCGTAGAACATTCGAATGGCACTCATATAAATCTTATTAGAATGTGAATAGCATAATCTATCGAATATTCTATATAATAAGTTATGAATATTTATAGAATATTCTATCAGAATAGCAACAGAAAATGCTTTAAACATGCATAGAATATGGTACTGAATATTCTACGAATCATTCCAAGTATTTTCATAGAATATTGAATAAATATTCTATGAACATATTTCTACAAACGTCTAAATGAATTTCAACTTTTCATAAAAAAAACAAAAATTATCATAGAAAACAATAGAACTTGAGAATGTTAAAGTATTAATATTATCTGTTAACTGTTAACATTCTCAAGTTCTATTGTCTTCGAACTATGATAATTTGGATTTTACTTATGAAAAAGTGAAATCGAATTTAGCCGTTTGTGGAAATATGAACTTGTAATATTAACTTGTAAGTACAAAATTAGATACTTTATGCTTTTCTTGTAAAAAAGATAACTATAACTGCTTGAAACAATGGGTAATTTCATATATGTTTAGAACTATTATTATTGGAATATATATTAGAGAGAGGTTTATATGTAATTAAAAAATACATATATTTAATTGATTGCAAGCTAAATGTTTTATTCTCAAAGAAAATAATAAAAAATAACATAATTTAAAAACATTATAAATATGTAAGTATTGGTAAGTCAACCAAAAAATAGACGAGTAGTTAGTGAACAGACAAAATGATTTATTCACGAAAAATCTACAATAAGCAAAATGAAATAATTAATAATTTACGGGGTAAAACATCATCATCTCTATTGAACGTTTCTCTATTCTATCTCCCCGTCCATTTATTAGTATAGCTGTCCATTCACTGGTGGAATCAACTTCTTTATAAAAAAAACACTATAATAACCAAACTTTTTGAATTTAACACTAGAAATACTAAAGATTATATATATATATATATAAATCTATGCATATATTTACACTTTAGAAAAACAAAAACATTATACAATTAATCATGTATAAAATTGTGGGAAAACTGCAAAACTTAACATATTTTATACATAAACAATGTTTAAAAGAATGTCAAACAAGTTACTTTCGATCCCTTAGATAATTTCTAGTGTTAAAGGATTAATGTGGTATAATTATCGTAATGAGTCTCGTGTAACAAAAAGCAAGCTGAAAACATTTCTCATAAAATATCATCAATTCAACATTCAAAACGTGAACAAAATTCTTGAACTTACATAGAATAAGACAATATTTTAACTTAATACTTAGATTTAGAATATGGATCTAAAACATTATGCATATCTAGTAATACTGAAGATTATGCATATCTAGGTATATATTGAGATCGTAAAATAAAAAAAGAGTGAAGAAAGTAATCATGTGTCAAAATAAAAGATAATTTCAGAATGTAAGATGTTTTAGAAATGCACAAGTATTACAGAAATGAATAATTGTTAAAGAAATGAATAATTAATAAATATATGTCGAACATGTTATTAATTATTAAACAAACTTCGCAAATGTTGAACAGTCAATGTTCTTTTACTTGGAAGGAAACAATCTTACGATTTCTTTTCTTTCTGTAATTGCTTTTGTCGTTCAGTAGCTTTTACAAGCCAATATTTGATTACATCTTCTATCGTAGATTCGGAACAACCGTGCGTTTTTTGAGTAGCAGTTAATATTGCTGAGCAAGTTCGAAGATTCGAAAACTTCTGTTTTCCTTTAAAACTTATCCAACTATATGTCTTCGCCAAATCATTAGACATTATTCTTGGCAATATACGTTTCACCATATTTTTGTAAGATGTTCCCCTAATTTGTAAAATTTCTTTGACCTAAACAACAATCATAAATTTGTATAAATTATAAATACACTCAGAATATATTAGTAAATGAACTTAATGAATTTACTTACAAGTGTTGAAATTTTCATCCTGGATTAAAAATTCTTCTAGTTCTTCCAATTCTGCTACAGTTTTCAGAGGGAAATTATAAGTTTTAAATATAAAATCTTCATTTGAAACAATCGGTTCATTTTTCTCCGAATTTGCTTTCATCAATAACATACTGACATCTTCTGACATTTGTTGTTATCTGATATTAATTATTTGCAATTGTAATACTTGTTTTTTGAAATTAACATCTGAAACAAAGTATTTCGTAAATATATTTAGATTAGTAATGTCCATTATTATAGATAGCACACATAACTGCAAACCATTGTTCATGATTATAATATACATTAAAGAAAAAATACATATGTAGCTATCTATTTAGGAAAACTTAAAAAAGATATAATATTACCATACAGATAATCAGATGGTTGTATAGTTTCATATGAAGATTTATTGGAAGTAGATGTACTGGGTAGATGTTCACGATTTTCTTTCTCATTAGATTTTCTTACTGCTGTTGATTCAATCGCACATTTATTTCTGACTGCAGATTGTGAAGTAGATAATGATTTTACAGCAGCTGTCAAAGTTAAAATTAACAATTGTACTCTCTTTATTACCATTTAAAAGTTGATCAGTGCTTATAAAATGATTAATATTATATATATATATATATCTTATATAAATATATAATATATAAATATATCAGTCTGCGGAAAACAAAATCTCACAGCAGGATCCATAGCCTACTGTGTCCGCATTAAGCTCGTGTTCTATGGATAGTGTTTGTTGAAATAATCTGATGACAGATTAGCGATAGGAATGACCATTCTTGCCGTCAACCATGCCATAAGGTTATTTCAACAAACGCTGTGCACAGAACATGAGCTTAATACGGACATAATAGGCTATGGATCTGCTGTGGTATTTTGTTATCTGCAAATATGGCTATATGGATTATGTAATATATATATATATATATATATATATATGCTAAAACATACTTTTAGATGGTGAAAAAGGCAGTTTTGTATTCCGTATATCATTTTCGGAAAAGTCACTTGAACTTTCGGAAACATTGGTGTTTATTTTTTGCGCTGTAATTAAACGAAACACTATTTATCATCAAAGTAAGATATTGTATAACACATTAAAAATAAGTTATATCTTACTTTGTCGTGTGGGACATAATGAAATTTTATGTTTACGGGTAAGGTTACTATCATCCAGAGCGATATCGTCTCCTGAATTATTTTCATCGAAAAATCGTTTTTTCTTTCTTTGTCTTGTATTTTCCACTTCGGAATTAAGATCCGACGTATGTTTTGCTTTCGCACACTTTGCTTTTGCTTCTAACAAGTTATCTGAAACAAATATGCATGCAATTAATAATTTCATAAGTTAATAAGTTGAAAAAACTATTCAATCTCATAAAATGTAATGATATTATTTGAGATGTGATATTGTCGAAACTTACCATATTTTTTTCCATTTGCTAATTGCCGTATGTTACATAATTGCCATTCACCAATTGTTGGAGACGTACATGATGATATCGCTTGCATTACTTTTTATCCTTTATAAGGTGGTCAATAACAAGTGTCGTCGGACATCCAATTAGATGGTACTGCCTCAACGACATTATCATCAACGAAATAAACTATAATCCATTCCATTATCTCGAAACTTTTATTAAAATCAAATCTGAAGATGCGATTTTATAGGTTTAGAAAACAAAATATATGTTATTTTTATTAATAAGAAAATATGTATTTCAAAAATAGTTTTTCATTAATGTATTTTAAAGTCCATGAATATTAAAGCTATTGTTAAACAAACATTTACAGATTCAATTCCACATGTGATGTGTAATATAAGATAAAATTTAAACATGAAGGAGAGGAAAAATGACAAAACATTTATTATTTGGAAAAAAAACAAATTTGTTACTAACATCATTTACTAACCAAAGTGAAGTAGAGTCAAGATTATCAACGGAGTAAATATTTAATCGCGACGACTGACAAGGCTCATTAAAAAAATTACTAACATTTTGAAATTTTTTACCGATAATATAATAATTATTGTTGCGTATAGCGAAATTTTCAATAAGCACTACAGATATATCCTTAAGTAAACAACAATTGTTTCCTGAGCTTGTGCTCAGTGTAAAATATTTGAATGTACACTTCTTATATTCTTTTTCAAAGTCATTTGATAGCAAAGGTCCTTCATTATGCTTTATGCTTTATGCTTAACACTATATCGTTTTGCGTTGTATCACATGTTGATAGTACATAATCTTTTTCATGTAAACGACGTACAATTTAAGGTAACGGTTGGTTTGGCTTCCTTACTAATTTTTTTAAGATTTGCAAACAATTTTCAAACGGAAACGCACTGTAAAAATCCAATGTTCCATAGATTTTAGTATCTTCCACTATATGTGTTAATCCATGCACATTATGCGAAATATATTCGTAACCATAAATAACTGCTATTTGATCAATGAAATATAGTAATAAGCTATTTGCGAACTCAATGTATGTTTTCTTTAAATCTGTAGACATCAAAATTCTTATTGCAATATGTAAGGTAAGAAAATGTAAATATTTATTAGAAGATATTAAATTCAGTAAAACTAGTGGTCCGGTATATAATAAAAAAAATCTAAATTCTGTCGCTTTCCATCATTTTACTTCGTCTAAGGAACGCGTTTTACGAACAAATTCCATTGGAACGTAACTTTTTAAGGATAAAAGTAAATCCGATATTTTTCTTACACATTCCTTTGATAATTTATGTGAAGGTTTTCCGTGTAACCATATGTTGCAAAGCAGTTTTTTACAACCCCTAAACAAATTAGATGCATGTACTCCAAAGGAAAATTAGTTACCTTTCCAAGACTAGGTATATATTCTAAAATAGATACTTCATTATGATATTCTGGCTGCAATTTACGGCGAAAACTCTCATTTGTTCTTTTCTTTCCATTGTTTTTAATGAAACAGACTCTACCTTTGATGTATTTACCTTTCTGTATATATTTAGTACAAGAATAAAATCCGGAATGACCTTTACAAAAAGTTATATACGATTTTGCAGGAGCATCACAAATGAAACCTTTAATTGTAAATGGTAAAACTTGCCCTTGAAGTACAAAACCATCATTTACTAGTTCAATAGCTTCTTCTACAAATTCAGAGAGAAATTCATTAGCATTAGTTGGTTTTTCGTAACCATGGTAAATACCAATTACAGATATATTACTAGGATATTTATATAAGGAACATAAAATTGGATATATTTGACTACTAGAACTTTTACTAAGAGGTAAACCATCTATATTAACTAGTAAATCAATCGATGATATAGTGCAAATGTCCACCGTAGAAGTTAATTTTTCTACTGCACACTTTAAACCAAAATGTACATACATTCCTGGCTCTACAATTTTTTTAAAATGTTTTCCGAGGTGTTGAAAGTAAAGTTCTAGGGTCACTTGGTAAGGAGGGGCGGGACCCCGGCCCCTGCAAAGGGCAAGTTGCTCGAGCACATCATTGCCGACCGCCTCGTCCGGCACCTGTCCTCGGAGGGGCCGAACCTCCATGACCGCCAGTTTGGGTTCAGGCCCGGGAGATCAACGCTGGACGCTGTCCAGTGTCTCCGGGGCCTGACCCAGGCGGTCGTGGAGAAGGACGGCGAGGTGTTTCTGGCCGTTTCCTTAGATATAAGGAATGCCTTCAACACCCTGCCGTGGCCGGAGATTGGGCGGGCGCTCGTGCATCACGGCGTGCCCGCCTATCTCCGGCATATCCTCTCGGCTTACTTCGGGGACAGGGACCTCGCCTTCCCAGTGGAGGGCGGGGTCCAGGGCCGGCGCACCATGGAGCGCGGTGTTCCGCAGGGGTCCGTCCTGGGCCCCCTGCTATGGCACATCGCGTTCGACCGGGTGCTGAGAACTCCGCTCCCCCCGGGCTGCCACGTCATCCGCTACGCAGATGACACTTTAGTGGTGGCCGGGGGGAGAACTGGGGGGAAGCCCGTCTCCGCGCGAAGGCGGCACTGGTATCGATGGTGGGCACCATAAAGGACCTGGGCCTTTCGGTGGCGTCCCAGAAGACCGAGGCCGTATACTTTTACGGCCGAGGTCGAGGGGCGCCTCCGGAAACCCAGGTCCTTGTGGATGGCGTCCACGTCCGCGTCGGGCCGACGATCAAATATCTCGGCCTGATGTTGGACAGCCGTTGGAGTTTCGGGCCCCACTTTGGGAACCTGGCCCCCCCCCCCCCCCGGGTGCGCAAGGTGGGTCTGGCGGTTGCCAGTCTGATGCGCGCTCAGGGGGGTCCGGGTTGGATGGCACGCCGCTTGTACGTCACGGCCGTGCTCTCGATCGCCCTTTACGGGGCGCCCATATGGGCGCCTAGCCTCTTGGTCTGCCGGAGGGGAAAACACTCCCTCCGGCAGGCCTTGAGGCCGGTGTTAATAAGGGCGATTCGGGGGTATCGGACCGTGTCGTACATGGCGGCGACCACTCTGGCCGGCGTCCCTCTCGTGGAGCTCCTTGCCAATGAGAGATCCGTTCTCTATTGGCGAGTGAAGGAGCTCCGCGCGGAGGGGACGCTAAGGGCCAGGGATATGAAGGGTCTGAAACTCCAGGCCAGAGACCGGACCCTTCGGAAATGGAAGGACGAGTTGTCCGACCCGAGGGTGTCCGGTCCCAAGACGGCCGCGGCTGTCCGCCCCTGCCTGTCTGAGGTGACGGGCAGGAGGGGACGTGGAATGTCATTCCACCTGGTGCAGATGCTGACCGGGCATGGTTGCTTCGGTCGGTATCTGCACCAGATAAGAAAGAAGCCCACCACTCGGTGCCACCACTGCCCCGGGCGACGGGTCGGGGACTCCTCGGCCGCCTCTGGCCCGCCACCGTCCGGGTGGGGGGGACTAGGTTTCCCTGGTCCCCCCGCGCGGTCGGACAAGCAGGGAAAAGGGGGGGCGGTGTCCCGGTTGAGGCCGGGCCCGCTTCCCCACCCCCCCCTTTCTTAAAGGGGGGAAGAGTAAAGGAGGGGGGGGTGGATATCTCCCTCCTCCTAATAGGTGTGACCAGAAGGCCAACCTTGGCAACATGGGCAACTCACCGGGGACCGCGCCTTGGACTCCCTTAGTGGGACAGGGCGCGGTACATTGATGGCGTGAGGCTCTCGGAGAGCCCTGTGGCCGGGGGGCTGGGGAGGGAATGCGGGAGCAGTTCCCCCATCTCCCCACCCAACGGCCCGACAGGTAGATATCCCGCAGGGGTTTTAGTCGGTAAGAGTCCAACATAACCCCCTCCCCCCCAAGGGGGGGGGTATCCATGATGGATTTCCCCTGCGTCACCAAAAAAAAAAGGGTCACTTGGTAAATTTGAATGAATAGGTATCGTCTTTAGTAAATTTAATAATTGTCTTAAAGTGCCATGAGGCACATTGCATGTAATCGCCCATTGACGCAAACCATGTAAAAAATTATTTTCTAAACTATTGTCCTCTAAATTAACATCAAAGTTAATATTAGAAATAGTCAAAAGTTGGCTATCCAAATTGTTTAAAGTATTACTACAATCTTCAGTAAGAAGATTTGAAAACTCATCATTAGCAATACTGCTGTCACTATCATCTATTTCATCTATTTTGCTAGAACTATTACGTTCACTACTAGAATTGATTCTGTACATATTATTCGAATTAACATTAGCATCAACATCTAAATTAACATGTTCATTCATAAGTTTATAACACATATCTGTGTTATTTTTAACTTTTCTGAAAAAAGTACGTTTACTTTTGCACCTAGGCATTCTTTTTTACTTTTATATATAAAAATATTAAAATGCAATATGGGTATGAAAATCTGAAATCAAAATACAATTGTATATAATTTCAACTTATAATAAAATAACAAACAGATTGTTTTAAACTTATAACTTATACAAATAATTATAGGATTTTTTTGGTAATTACATATATTCATGGAAGAGTACTTCATTTAAATACATCTGTAAATTAATTCTTTGCTATATTTTCCATGCTTTATATTATGACGTAACAAAGCCTATTCATAGCTGTAAGTATATGGCATAAGGCTGTAACGTAAGCTATCAGCAAATGCAAATAATTCATTTCACTCCTGACAGTCTTATAGTCATATGCTCACAACCATTGTAGAATGAGCTAAAATCATTCCTATTTCCTTTTTGTATAGCGTTTCTTATTGGTAAAATTAATACAGCACTGGTGTAATACAGTTATGAACAAAAAGGTCACTATTCGATGCAGTTTAGAATGCAGCTAATTAACCTAAAAAGAACTCATTTTGAAAATTTTCTCAAATCATTTATTCTTTTATTGAACAATTTAGCTGTGCTCCAAACTGCATCGAAACAGTAGTAACAACCTTTTTATTCCTGAATTTATTGCACTAGTGCTATTCTTGTTTTCTCAATAGCAAACGCTATTAATTCGTACTTACTTTTCGTGTCCCACACTAGATATATGTGTCTCTTATTGTTCACATGTCGGATGACGGAACACAAATAAAATACTTTATAACATGAAAGAATGACGCACGTCGTAAGAAGTCGCTAACACGGCTGTATTGCGACTGTGTATCTATGCTGAAAAGTTTCTCTTTGCTGCAACATACAAAGAGTTTAATATTAGAATAAGAATATAA